GAGGTGCGGAATTTTTGCAGCCGCTTTTATCTGATAATTTTGGGATTTCTACCCTCGTCATATAGTCTCCACTCATTACAAGGAATTGGTATTTCTTCCTTAGAAACCAACCCTATTTTGGGGATTAAGAGTGGAGGAGAAGGCACATTTGTATTTGCGAACTTACCTACAACCAATATATATATATATATGTTACCTTTGCTCGCCGGATTTCAACCCTTGTGTAAGTGTTTTAGTTGTTTGTATAGAATGTGGCCTGTAGAATCCATAATTTCAAACAGTTCCAAGATTGGGCTACTAGTTCAAAAGTTACAGCCCTTTGAATTTTTTTTCGAATTTGGTTTCTAGTCTATAACTTTTGATTGAGAAGTCTGATCGAAAAAGTACGAATTGTTTTGGATTCTACGCACCAAATTTAATAAGAAAGTGTTTTCCCGAGAAATTTTGGTGTAGTCGATTTTTGGTAAAAAAGGAAGGTTATACACTGCCTTTTTTTGAGGCTCGAAAAAAAAATTGTCTCAGATCGTCCCGGAAAAAAAATTTTCTTATAGAATGTGGCCTGTAGAATCCATAATTTCAAACAGTTCCAAGATTGGGCTACTAGTTCCAAAGTTACAGCCCTTTGAATTTTTTTTCGAAATTGGTTTCTAGTCTATAACTTTTGATTGAGAAGTCTGATCGAAAAAGTACGAATTGTTTTGGATTCTACGCACCAAAATTAATAAGAAAAAGTCTTTTCCCGAGAAATTTTGGTGTAGTCGATTTTTGGTAAAAAAGGAAGGTAATACACTGCCTTTTTTTGAGGCTCGAAAAGAAAATTGTCTCAGATCGACCCGGAAAAAAAATTTTCTTATCATTTTCTATTTCTTCGTTGTCTCTTAGGATCCGAGCGTTATTTCACCGTCCACCAATTTAATTGAGCATGCATATCTATATATTGTCTCTACGTTAAGGCCCACACCATCTCGTAAGTAGCCTTTTCGTGATAGTTTTAGCTTGTAATGTTGGGTTTTTGTTCTAGGGCCTTGTATTTTTAGTTATTACTTGTCTATACTTGTTATACGTACCTATCTACTACTAAGAAATCTTCGTCTTCGTCCGTCTTCAGTCTTCAGTCGTCCGTCTTCAGTCTTCAGTCGTCCGTCTTCAATCTTCAGTCGTCCGTCTTCAATCTACAGTCATCCGTCTTCAGTCTTCAATCTTCTTTCGATGCCCTCAAATTTCTTTTCCCTTTGTTCCCTTCTACCCTCATCCCTATCCTTAATCTTCCCCGCATTTAGCCACTGGTTTACAACCGCCAAGTCCGCCGGACAACTGCTGGACAACTTCAGGAGCCAGAACAGCTAAGTCCAAGTTTCAAGTTACCTATTTACCTAAAAAAACAAAAAACCGTTAAGTTAATTTAAAAAAAACCCATCACATTAATTCAGCCACCCTACATCATATTAAGTAATTTTGTCAAATTTTATTGTCTTACTGTGAGACGAGATCTCGTACTGATTTTTCTTTTTTTTTGCCGTTATTTTCCCTGTTATCATTCCGTGCCATTATCAATCATCATCATTCGCCCTACAATATCTGTGTTAGTTTCTGGATTTCCTTGAATAAATACCTTTTCTTTCCCGCTATTTTCTCTATTTCTCTTCTTTATAGTTTTACCCCTGCATTTCCAGTCCAACAGGAGCAGGTTTCTAATTTTTTTCCTGTACGGCTTGGAACTACCGAAAAATTAGTGGCGCCTAAATTTTCTGAGCATTTCTAGCTATTTCTTTCAGTATGGTCGAACCACCCCTACCACCGAGAGCAGCTGGAGCCGTAGTGCTGGATTTCTTATTTCCTTTTAGTTTTCTTCGTCACAGAGTTCAGCTGAGCCTCCAAAGAGTTTCACGGACTTCGAAGAGTCCAAAAGTCTCTAATAATTTCATACAGTCAGTCTCCGATATTCTTCTAGATCGTTTTAGAACCTCCATTGTTGCAGTCTTTAAGAGCTCTGCCTTTAACAGCTTTCATGAGTTACACCCTGTATAAATTAAATAAAGTAGGAACTAGCAAGGCTTAATTTTATGAATAAATGATTTATGTCAATAATTAATCTCTACTCCTTCAAGGAAAAACTTCTTCAAAGAAACTTTCTGGAACATCTTTCTTATCCGTTTAGAAATTAAAAAATTCTTTTAGGAGCTTATGTCGTTTCACAGTTTCTGCATAATGTACCGAACAAAAATGAAAATTGGCAAACATTAAAGAGCTTCTAAAAACGGATATTCTATTTTACTTAAAGAGGATGCAAATATGGATTTTCCAGTAAGCGTTCAATGCATCCAAACTGAAACCAACGTAAAATTTGGAAAGTTGAGACGTAAACCAACTAAATGCTAACTTTCCAAAAAATCTAAAAATGTTTTTTTGCGTCTAGATTCGCACAGTTACTTCAGAACAGAAAATTAAAATGGCATAGATTAAGGTTCCCAAAACAAGAAATTCAATTTTCTAAAACGTATTCATTCAGATGCAACCATGGATTTTTCAAAAACCGTTCATTCATGTACAATTTCTAAAAATGCACCGAAAAACCCAGCGCAAATATTTGAAAAAGTAAAACCAACGGAAAATTCTTGTTCAGTTTAAACATTTCAAAAAATTAAAAACTTACGTCCAGATTCTCACAGTTCAATTTTTTCAAACGATTTCATTTAAAGTAAATGCAACCGTGGATACTTGAAGCAGTTGCAAGTATGAATTTTTTAGGAAGCATATAGGTTCTAGAAATGCAGGTTCTAGAAATGCATCCAAAATAAAATCCACCGCAAATATTTAAAAAGCTGAATATTGACACTCCGGAAAACCTTTGTTCCAGTTAAAAATTAAAAGACGTCGAGATTCTTACAATGATCTTTCCGAAAGCCATCAGTCCTGTACGGTTTTTTTTTTAATGTTAACTATAAATTTTTTTAGTAAAAACAATCATATTGCATATTGTAAGAATCAGATGTGTGCATGCGCATGCTTCTAGTAACGACGAGCTTATCGCATATTCTAAAAATCTGATGTGCGCCAGCGCAAACTGTGTAATGTCAATTGTTTATTTATAGAGATATTTTTTTGAAATTTTAGCCATAGATTCTTCAATGAAATTACAGAAAGTGTGGTCATTTTTAATAAGAAATATTAAGTATACGGGGCAAATAGAAAATATACAAAAATATATCGGAAAGTTTAATTTTTAAAGGAATTTGGTTACTTACTTCTAATGGAAATTGCGGAAACTACGGAAAGTATGGAAACTCAGCAATGGAGGAAGCTTTTGAGCAAATTCGTCTCCTATGCAATAGGAGAACCAACGAAATAGTAGCCCACATTCGTCCTAAAGAAATGCCGCCCTAACAAAGAAACTTTTCAAAATTCAAGAACTTACGTCGAGATTTTCACTATGATTTTTCTGAAATCCTTCATTTGAAAAACTGAGATTTCCAAATAAATGTTAACTTTCTGGAAAAGCTTTGGCCGGTTTAAAAATTAAAAATTACGTCAAGATTCTCAAAGAAACTTCAAATTTTAGCTAAGAGAAAATTAAATTGGCAAAGATTAAAGCTTCCAAAAAAAGAAATCTAATTTACTAAACGTATCCACTTGATATAGATGTTTTTAAAGATGAGTCATATTGTTATTCCTTTTTAACAAGCCAAATTTTGATATACCGGAAAATCTCTGCCCTGTCAAAGAAGATAAGTAGATGTGCGCATGCGTAAACTGCGTAATGCCAATTTTCTTATTTTTTTGAAATTTTCATATTCATCAATGAAATTACAGAAAGTGTGGCAATTTTTAAAAAGAAGCTTTTGGTCCAATTCTTGTACGACGCATAGGAAATGTTAAGAGTCTTCTTTACCTAAGCGCAACTTTTTTACATTATAGTGTATAGATGATTATAGCTGCAAGAGATAAGATTATATTCTTGCTTTGTCAACTCCTGTCTTGGTCCTTAGTTAGTTCCCACCGACACTGTGCAGCGGCGCCACTTGTTACACTCAAATTGTTGATTTAACGCCCCCCAAGATACAGACTTTATTTACAAAAATTATGATTTCATTTTTTGGGGTCATGTTTAGAAGTAATTTATCTAAAAAACTGTCGGTTTACTTTTTCCATAAATCGTCTTGATCAGAAGAGGAAAAAAATAAAACATATTAGCGCAAAATCGTGGCGAAACATCTAATCTTTAAACGAATTCTGTACAGTTGCTTATAAACTAAAAAAAAAATATCAACATTGGTAGATAAAGTCTAAATTTATAAAATGAGTTCAAAAAAAATTGTTTCTTGTTAAAAACAAATAGAGTTTTTATGGCGGGCGCTCCTATGGAAATTTACATTGGGTGCAGTGGGTACAGAAGACTCTTAAGTATACCGAGGAATTAGAAAACATAGAAAATATACCTATCGGAATTTGGTTCAAATGACAATGATAATACCGAAACAGTAGCCCCATAAATAATCGCCCCGAAAAACCGCACTAGAAACATTTGTCCTCAAGAAAAGCCGCCATAACAGAGAAACTTTACCCTTACTCTCCCCAAGGAAATATGTTGCTTCCTATCCTGTGCCAAAAATTCAGGTCGGACATTATCCTGCAAAAAAGAACCACTAAAATTCTGTCAAGTTTGTTAGGTAAAAGTGAAAATATCAATACAATCGCCAATCCAGTAATTTAAATCGAGACAGATTTAACTAGTCGAAATAGATTAATCGATTCCAAGTCAATCATTTGGCTAACCGACTAATCTAATCGATAATTGAATATTGGGCAAGCAATTGAAAGTTGTTTACAATGACGAACGTATGTTAAAAAATGTTAGCAACTACCTGTATTTTATTAGCTTTCAGCGCGCCCTTAATTTCGCCACTAAGAAACTGGGGATGCACTTAAAATATTCATAGTCTAGGGCACAATGTTAGGATAATCCGCCTTCGAGCAGTTTTCTTAGTAATTCGCCATAAATAATGGGAATGAGTGATACCCCGGGCAGGCCTCTGAAAAACAGCAAGTATTCGTTCCTTTTAGAAAATTCATCACACGTACATAGTGAAACGTATTTATGTGAAAGAAAACGATATTTGAATTACAATCGAGCTTTTGACACATTGAAACATTGGCTTAAGACGTCTTTCTAATAAATTTCGTTTCAGGTCAGGGCCGTGTGAACCAGCTTGGCGGAGTGTTCATAAACGGCCGTCCACTTCCAAACCACATACGTTTAAAGATCGTCGAAATGGCGGCCGCCGGTACGCGTCCCTGCGTTATCTCGCGGCAATTGAGGGTGTCGCACGGATGCGTATCAAAAATTTTGAATCGCTACCAAGAGACTGGAAGCATACGACCGGGCGTAATCGGCGGATCGAAACCGCGCGTCGCGACCCCAGAGGTGGAAAATCGGATCGAGCAGCTTAAGCGTCAAAATCCCGGAATTTTTTCGTGGGAAATAAGAGAGAGACTGGTCAAGGTACGTATTAATTATCATTAGCGGGTACGTAAATGCTACCAAGAAGGAAAAGATAAAAATCGCGATGCTAACCGTTCTTGAAAGCAGGGCGCTTTGGGTGTTGGCGGTGTATATCAAAGAGTACGCGTGCCAGAGGACAAAACAGAATAATAACGCATTCTTGTGGGACTCTGACACGAAGAACGTGCCGTACCGCCCTCAAATTACGGCCTGGACATCTGTCGATATCATCTTCAGTTTCTCTAATACATTGCGCTCGCGGCCGATAAACGCATCGAAACGCCCACCTTTCTTCGAGTTCTTGTTTTAACAGTGGCGTAGCATTAAACCGTTACTAAAATAATTATTCCATAAAGCGACGTATCTTTTCAATTTTAGGAAGCCGATCTAAACTTGACCTCGCCAACGCCCGAAGCGGATCCTCCTGGGGTAAGAGAACCTTCTGATTATACCTAATCTAACCATCAGAGCGCATTGGCATTAGTTAATTGAAATTTTTTTAATGGAGATTTACCACATCGGCCACCCTTATCTCAATCGTAATAAATTTTGAGTAATCCGCCGAAAGTGATAAATCAGGAAATAGTTGGAAAAAATAAATACGCACCCATAAATTTCGCGTTTCGCTGGCACTAATCTCAGCGCCAACGAAAATGTAAATGTATCTCTATTAACTAAATTAAACATTGTATGCATAGGTATTTGAACATACTTGAAAGAAGCAATTTATTTATCGCCAGTGCAACAACTAATAAATTAATTAGCGCAGAACCGTAAATTAAATTTTCTTAAGATTAGTTTATTTAAAATGGCTCAGAGTTATTTGCGATTGTTTCTCGAATATTTGGATTGCCAATTACTAATACGATTGGCTGAAAACCTTTTATATTTTCTTGATGATATATCAAATTTAAGATAATGTGAAAGCTGTAGTCCATCACTTTTTAAATATTCTTCGCTTGAGAAGCTTTATTTTAAATGAATGATCAAATTTTCTTTTTTCAAATTGTATAATCATATATTATATTAATAACTAATTGCTAGGTTACATTTATTTTTTGCGCGATCGGTCATTTCTGACTATTTACCATGTGTGTTTCCATGACAGTACGTAGCATTTACCAGTTGCTATGATTACGACGACGCCAAAATTACTTACCGATCTAAAAACAGAACAGCAAAAATACTTACCGACGCCTTTTTAAAAATCAACAGTCTTACATTACAGTCATTTAATCTTTAATTATTGTTAGGTACATTAATCGTACAATTTGTGCTGTTGTTTCCTATAGCAAGACGCTCATAAAGTCATAAAGGATGTGCAAAGCTAGTAAACTACATCAGACACATGCACATTTTTATGGAATTATTAATTTCAATTTTGACATTTAAACTGGTTGCCTAGTGATGTACACCATACCACTTTGATCATTTCGATTTATTCTGCTCGTTCATTTCTTAGTGCATAGTTATATTGGTTGGATAATGTTAATTTCGATCGCGCAAAAAATGTTATAAGCACGTCGAACGTTAAGGGTTACCGTTCTCAGACAATAATTGGAGTCGTCGCTTCGCTCCTCCTCCAAACAATTGTCTTCGAACGGTAAAAATCCCTTACCGTTCTCCATACTTAATATACTATTGTGGCATTTATAATGAAGCAAATTTTTTATGTTTTTTTTTGTTAGGTATAATAAGCAAAAACTTAACTCAGTTGCTATAAGTATACTTTGTACTTCAAGAGCAATAAAGTTCTATCTATCTATCTATCTATCTATCATTAATGCGGTAATTGAGAACCCATTTTGTACCTATCAGTACAGCGGGTATAAAATTTTGCACCACTGCCTTTTACCCGTGAGGACCAAATCCATATTGCGGTTGCGATTTAACGCCACAATGGCAAGAGTACCGCTTCATGCCAATTTTGTACCATCATTTTGTACTCAACAACAAATTTTGTACTATTACATTGGAGTTACCACCCCTAGTATTTAAAAACCCATGAAGTTTCCACAATCACAGCCCCTTTTATAGAGATCCATGAACAACTTACTTATACCGTTTAATAATTAGGCCATCAAGTTAGACGAATCGGATTTAAATCCTACAAAACGTTTTATTGTTTTAATGACTGCATTTGTCGCCTAATATGACTTATCCTAGCCCCCCCCCCTCCCCGGACTTGTGCTTAAGTGGTTAAGTGGTGGAGGGTAAAAATGTACCTGCAGAAAGGGTATGTTTCCGGTGTTACGATTATATCCTTCTAAATGACTCACAATATCCAACCTAAAAAATTAAAGGTTGCCAGTTGCACAAAAAAAAATCCAGGATTATTGTTTAATCCGGTATTAAGACATTTGATTGGCTTTATATTGCAGTAGGCAGCCAATCAAATGTCAAAATTCTTGTTTAAACTCAGATTTGGCAAATAATCTAGGATTTTGATTATAATTCGATTTCCTGCAACCGGCCGTTAGGGCACTAAATTATGCATTGCCCTTGCAAGGCACAAACTATTAAGCACTTCATCTCAGCATTCCGACATCCACAACCACCTGCACACCCCTTGTTGCATTTCAGAAAATTGTGAATAGAGGACACTGTGAAGCTGGTTCCTTGGAGGAAGAAACCAATCTTTGAAGTCTGCCATCCTTAGAGGAATGGATCCATCTGGTGTCCCACCCACAATGGTAGGTAAGTTCTCAAGCAATGTTCTCGTGCTGCTTTGTAATTTGGATTTTACGAAGGCTTTAGAAAGCAGATTCCTTCACTCAACGATAATAACCGTAAAACCGCAAAATTACCCTTTTTCTAGGAACATTTTTACCCCTTCCCTTCCCACTTAAGCACAACTCCACTACGGAGGGGGGAACTAGGATAGTCATATTGGGTAACAAATAGAGCCATTATTAAAACAATAAAACCTTTTATTGGGTAAATCCGATTTGAATTTTAATCCTACGGGTCTACTATCAGTCAGCAAAACAGAAATTTTTGATGCGCCACAAAATAGACACCCCTTTCAGTAAATACGTGCAACATAAGGGAACATTTTTCATGAAAAGTACGTAAAGTAAAAGAGCTAATGGGCCCTTTAATTGAAGTCAAACGAAAAATAAAAATCTCTGATCATCGCAACAGGGAATGCATGCAAAGTAGGAGAAATTTTTTCTTCAAAAATACGTAGTTTTAAAATGGATAGGGGATATATGCTTCTGTCAATTTTTATGTTGATGTAAATAGGGTTACTAATAGAATCTTTAACCATAATCAATCGGAGGGACAAAAATTCTTGAAATTTCCTTTAAAAAAGCCGAAAACGACCAGGGGCTGCATTTTTCTGTTATTATTATAATTAAGGATAATATGTTATTTAGTCATAACAAATCGAAAAGATAAACGAATGTAACGCTTCGCAAATAGACAACCCTTTCAGTGAATAGGGCAACGCAAAATGAATTTTCCTTGAAAAAGCGTAATTTAAAAACGAATAGGGTATGCATTTTTCTGTTACTATAAATAAGGTTGCAAATTGGACCTTTAATCGTAATCAATCGGAAAACTAAATTTTTTTATTCCTCGTGACACGTAATTTGAAAACGAGCAGAGAAGTAAAAGTGGTCGTTTACAGATTACATTAAGTCGTCAAGGGTGTAATGAAAGAGGGTTTTGCCTACATTGAGTTACATTGAACTTTGAAGGGGGAATCATCATCAATGTTAAAATCATTTCGATACTCTCGCGAAGTTGGCCGTGATTTTTTGAAACCGAATTTTCCGAAAACGGCAGGGGGAATGGAAAGTACAATGAGGCACATTAAATTTGGAACCAGATACATTCCGTCAACATTTTCGTCCACTTTACGGGAGGCGTCAGGGGAATATTTTGGTACCTAATGTTATTGTTAGACAGCATTTTGCAGATTAGGAATTAGATAACTAGTTCTTGAAATACCTATGGTTCTCAAAAAAAGAAATTATCATCTAGTGAAATTTAAAATAAACTTATGTCTCTTTTATAAAAAAATATATCGACTTAGATCATAGATACCATTGAATAAAAACCGAGATAAAAACACTATTTTTATTCAATGATTATACAGAAATTTTACAAAATTCTAACGTAACAAGAGCATTGTAGATATGCTGACCCTCGTGCTGACCACGAGATCCAAGCACATTTTCCACCCGCAATTTTGTGAAGACACTAGAAGAATTTCTCAAAAAAGGGAGAATTGCCATTAACGAGACCCTTTTCCATTTTGGTGTTGATTATACTGGATATTTTTTAGTAAATCTAAGCAAAGGTAAAGCTAAATGTAAACTAAAACGCTGGAGTACACGTGGAATTCATTTAGAGTTAGTGTCCGATATGTAAGACTAAGAATCTTTTTTTGTATTTGATTATTAGCTTTAGTTGTAGGTATACAATTTATTGCAATGACTATTAATTCCAATATGAGACATCTACAAACGGAGGATTACTCACAAGGTGACTTATCAATATTATCGGGGTGAAAGTCGTACAGAAATTGTTTCAGTTGAGTATTAGTGTTCGCAGCGTGTGCTAGGTGGTATAAATATTTCTTAGCGGGTGCGTAAGGTGGTGAATAAGGTGAGTTCATTCTCTGAGTTGCTTTTTATTAGCATGATAATTATGGAGATTTTTCAATTTCTTCACGTTCAAAGGAATTGAGTCCATTATTGTATTATGCACCGACTGTAATTTGTAATTTTGGAAAAGATTCAAAAATTGCAAAAACCTGTCCATCAAGGTAGCTACGGAGAAATGTATAGCAGGTTTACTTTAGTTTTCCATTGATCGACACAGCATTTTGCGGGTCATAAAATTTCTTTACAGAAATACCCGCAAAATCAAATTTTGATGGTCTGCAAAATAACGAGTCTTTCTCGAATTTCGGTTGCGGAAACTGTTTAAGAATTTTACAGTCTGATTTTAGTGCATTGTTTCTCAAATTAAATTGTCCTATGTGGTGTAAGCGAAACAGGCGACCTATTTTCAAGATTAGTGTAAATAAATTCCTTAGTTTGCGTAATTGTTCAATAATCTTCTATAGGACGCTCAGAAAACGAAGCCAAAATTTTATTAGTTCCGCACCACATTTTGTTCTGTAATTTTTTCTGCATGTAAACGCATTTTTCCACATTTTTGTGAAAAGTATTATAACATTTCAGCCTTGCAAAACAAGTAAAAAATTCTGGCCGAAAAATTTGTATGGTTTACTATAGCCTTTGACAAGAGTTTCGGCATGTTGATGGCCATCCGGAGCCAAGTATCTTGCGTTATTGCATAGCAAAGTATAAAATCGAAAGTTCCGAAATCCCCAGTTTATGTAAAATTTCCGAAAACAATATGGCCACTACTGCAACAATCTTGGAAGGCTTTAATCTCTTCAATTTATCAGA